CACGAGACGCATCGACTCAAAGTCAGTGGCGGTCGCTAACTTCGACAGCGCATCGGCATGCATGTTTTCCTCTCTTGGTATTTGCGCGTAAGTCACCATCTCGAAGGTACTCGCTCGTTGTTTGACACGCTCCACGTATTGCGCCAGTGTGTCTTCCTTAGTATTGAAGCTACCGTTCAACTGGTTCACTGCGAGTGAGGAGTCGGAGAGCACTCTAATCGTTCTAGCACCCAAGTCGTTGGCGGCGGTCATTCCTGCTAGGATGGCTTCATACTCGGCCGCGTTATTTGTCTTCAACGTTCTGAACCTGATTGCTATTTCGTGGACGACGCCTGTGGGAGTGCGCACGACGACACCCACGCCGGCGCCGTGTTTGCTTGCTGCGCCGTCTACGTATATCTCCCATACTCCTTCCGGTGTTGTCTCGAGAGTGACCCCTTCAGCGATGAAGTCCGCTAAAATTTGCGCCTTTATTGCTGGCCTTGGCGCGTATTGCATGTCGTACTCTGACAGCTCGACCGCCCATTTGACCATCCGCCCTGACACTTCCATTGAGGTTAGGATCTTTTTTAATGGAAGGTTGGTCAGGACGATGATTTGGTGCGCTTGGAAATAAGGGCGCAACTTCTGCGATGCGCTAACTAACGCCAGGGCGGCTTTCTCTATTGGGGAGTATCTTGTTTCTGCGCTGACTAGTGTTCGCGAAGTGTAATACACTGGGCGTTCGTTTTGGCCATCTCTTCTGGATATTAGCACTGCGCTCACAGCTCTCGTTGACATAGCCAGATACAGGAAGAGTTTTTCATTAAGCTTGGGAGCAGACAGTACAGGGGGGGGGTACAAGATACGCTTTAAGCTCTTGGAAGGCCTCTTCGCACTCCTTGGACCATGCGAATCGTGTGCCGTTTTTGAGCGTCCTGAAGAAAGGCGCACACTTGTCAGCTGGCCTTGGTATGAACCTCCCTAACGCCGCTATCTTGCTGTTTAGAGATTGAATTTCCAATGCGCTTCTTGGCGCCCGCAACTGTTGTACCGCGGTGATCTGCTTCGGGTCGATCTCAATGCCGCGCTTGGTTGTCATGAAACCAAGAAACTTCCCTGCTTCTGCTCCAAAAACACACTTCACTGGGTTTAAGCGGAGGCTGTGTTTGCGGAGCGCCTCGAATGTCTCGCGCAGATCTTCCAGATGCGAGTTACCAGCCTTAGTCTTAACGATGAGGTCATCCACATATGCCTCGATGTTCCGCCCTCTCTGTTGTTGGAACACCGAATCGATCATTCTTTGGTATGTCGCGCCCGCGTTCTTCAGTCCGAACGGCATTCCGACGAAATAGAAGTTTCCGAAGGGAGTCATGAAAGCCATTTTTTCCTCATCTTCGCGCGACATTGGGATTTGGTGGTATCCTGAGAACATGTCGAGGAAAGACAGTGTCTCGTGGTTGGCAGTGGCGTCGATCAGTTGGTCAATGCGCGGCAAGAGGTAAGGGTCTCCCGAGCACACCTTGTTGATCGTTGTATAGTCGACGCACATCCGCCAGGCCCCTGAAGACTTTTTCACCAGGACTACATTTGCCAATAGTCGCGCCACCTCTTCTTCGATGGCTTTTAGTTTGTCGCCCGTGAAGCTACGACGCGCTTGCTGCCTTGGAGGCGCGCTAGGTGGGGCTGCGAGGCAATGTTGGGCTACATGCCTTGGTACTCCTGGCATGTCTTCTGTGCACCAAGCAAATAACTCCATATATTCCTTCAGTAACGCTATCAGCGGCTCAATCGCATCACCGCGGACGTGAGTCGAGATGCGCACTTTTCTAGTTGGTTGGGTTGGGTCGAGCGCGACTTCGAAATCGGAATCCATCGATTCTGGGCGGGGTTCTTCTGGCCTTGTGTCAACAATGTTGGTATGGCGGATCTCTCCTTCGAGTTTTGGAACTCCCCATGGTGTCCCGCGCGCCTCTCCGGTCCCCATCTTGGTGGGAAACTTAAGCTTCTGGTGGCATGTGGATGGGAGGGCCATGAATTTTGCTAGGAATGGTCGGCCAAAGATGTCGTTGTGGGACGAGTTGCAGTCGACTATTGTGAACTCGACTTGCTTTGAGACGCGCGGTTCTTGGTCTCCGATAACAACAGGAAGAGTTACCACACCAATTACTGGAACTCTCGTCTTAGAGAACCCGACCAAGTTCCCTTGGGCGCGCTTGATTAAGCGCGGATCGATGTCCATTTGGTCGACAATGCTTTTGAAAAGGATGTCTGCCGCGCTACCCCCATCTATCAGTAGGCGGTGTATTTTGCAGGCGGCCACCAGAGCGGTGATGGTGAGCGGATCTTCTGACGGGATTCCCTGCGGTAATTCGGTGTCGTCGAAGCTCAGTTGGCACCTTGTTTGGACATCTGCCGCTACGCATTCTATCGCGCGTTCGCGCTTGATCTTTTTCTTCGGGCAATCTCCTTCCACTGTCACCACCCCTATTTCTTTGCGTACTACATATGAGCAAGTAGCCTCATTGTAGTCGGCTTGCGGGGGTGGTGGTAGATTTCCTGGCTGTTCTGGTTGGCTCTCCGCTCCACGGATGAATTCCGTGAGTAACCCTCTTCGTATGAGGCCTTCGATTTCGTATCGTAGCTCCCTGCAATCTTCCGTCCAGTGGCTCGTTTCTCTGTGGAAGTCGCAATGCTTCTTCGGGTCGTGCATGTGTAGTGGGGCCTTCAAGGGCGCGAGCCAATTGATCTTGTAACCTTTCTCGCGGAGAACGTGGAACACGTTCTTTACCGACTCATTGAGTGGGGTATAGGCGTTTGACTGGCGCCTATCGGGTGATCGTCCCCGCTGAGCTTGTTCTGGTGGTGGTGGAGGATGGCGCTTCGGACCGCTGTGTAACTGTGCCAATTGCCCCCACGGCACCGGGAGCTGCCTCCACCCCTGGTCTTCTCGGGGCGGCTTCGCGGGCTCGAAGCGCCTGACAGACCCCGCTCCGAGCATTTCTTCCAGCGTGATTGCCTTCTCGATTTTCATCTCTAGCTCTGTCGATAGCGTGACAGGTCTTTTTGCCAATGCCCATTTGAGCTCCATGTTGGTGGTGGCGTCCATAAGGTGATGGGCAGCGGTTTCGGGAGTAAGGTCGCGCACGGCCATCGCCACCCTGGACCATCTGGCGTAGAATGCTCGCAGGCTTTCGCCGTCCTTCTGCCTTATGTCTATCAACGCCTTGAGGTGGAGAGGCCTTCTTTTCTAGGACGCGAACTTTGTTGTGAACAAGAGTATGAACTCTTCGAACGAGCGGATGATTCCGTTTGGGAGTCTGTTGTACCAATCGAGGCATATTCCGGAGAATGTTGACGGGAAGGTTCTGCATAGTGCCGCATTGGAATTTTTTTGGAGTTGCATGCGCAAGCAGAAGGTGCTCACGTGGTCTTCAGGATCGGTCGTCCCGTTATACGTGGGGAGGGTGGGTGGCATTCCGCTCAGGTGCTCTGCCATGATTTCCGCGCTTGGGTTGGAGCGGTATTGCGGGGATAAGTATTGCTCCAGGAAGCTGAGGTCTGCCCTACCCGGCGGCTCGGCTTGTTGCGCTTCACACGCAGGGAATTCGGCCGGCGCGGGTTGTGGTAGCGGGGCGATCCCTATCGCTTCACCAGGTGCTTGCAGCGGCGCGCTTGGTGTCGCCTCTACTGTTGTCGCGGCTTCTTTTCTCATCATGAGCGCTATGACTTGGCTCATTTGTTTTTGCATATCGACTATGACGTTGTTCTGCTTCGCCCTTAGCTGCCTCATTTCCTTGGCGGTCAGCTCGGGCTCTTCTTCTTCGATGAGCACCGCGTTGAGGTTTCTGGTTTCCGCGAACGTTCTTGGGTTGGTCATTGCTTTGATGGGTGTTGCTTCGTCAGGTAAGTTGGGATTATGTTCAGCCATTGGTTGTTTTTCTTTGCTTCTCTACTTGGCCCCACGGTGGGCGCCAATTGTTTGGATCTAACTGAGTGTAGGAGTGAGGTTCGGGAAAGAAAGTGGGTCAATGGGAGTAAGCAAGGAAAATCGACTATATGACGTAGAACCAAGATCTTGGAGAACGAGGTTGAGGGAATTCGTCTTTAGAGAGAGAAGTTGATGTTTGTAGAGATAGAATTTGAAAATTGCGATCCCCTCACCCACCGGAGTAAATGTCATATTTATAGGCTACATGGTGGTGGGTGAGTTTACAGGGTGACATGACTGCTGACATGTCAGACTTTAGACCATACTTCTAACTAGGACTAGGGGGTTTATCCATGATGGTCCCTATGACTGCAATGGGACGGCGATGTGACTGCTTCCGTGTGATGCGGCGTCGTTTGCGACTTCTCCCAGCCTGGTCGACGCTCCGCCGGAACGTCATCGTTCGGTGCCTCGGACCTTGTTCGCACGTGCAGGTCTCGTTGCGCTCGTGACTGGTGCGCTTACGTCAGTGCTGGCGTGCCTAGTTCTCGCTGCGGCGTCGTTTGGGGTATTTCCTTGGCCCGGCGAGATCCGAGTCATATACCCAACAGTATTCATATTTTATGTTAGAAATCTTTTTTAGTCATTATTCATTACCTCTTATATTATAATGTAATTCTGATAGTTTTTCAGTTAAATACTCAACCGTTTTTTTAAATACTTTTTGAAAAGAGCAAGAGAAGCTGTTTCATTCTGCAAAAGTTACAGCAAGATCAATTGCTAGCCATACAAATTGAAGCGTTATGAAAGAGGTTTAAATATAAATAATCTATTCGACTACCTTTCTACATTCTGCAAGTTTATCGACCATATGATATTGTAAATAACCAAACTATGAAAAGAATGATTAAGAATGAAATAAGATTATTTTCACTTTTGGGTCAACATTAAATTTATTACTTTGTAAAATATTTATTTTTCTAAATACGCGAAGCTATATTTGTTTTCTAAATACGTAGCTAGCAGACTTTTGCTAATTTATATACAAGGGAACCTACTATTCTAATGCAAAGCACGATCCCTTTCAAAGTTTCAAGCCTTTCTATTATCCTTTACTATCTAGCTTCGTGACTGACTAGCTGATTAGTGATTAGTGTTATGCCAGAGAATAAGACAAGATCATGAGATGTGCTGCGCAATGCCGAGATGAGGACAAACAAAACTCGAGCGTCCATCCATCCACGAACCACGATAGCATAAGCACAAAAAAATCTCTTACCCGGAGACACACAGAGGAAGAAAGCAGAGTGAGACGGAAATATGGCTGGAGCTGGAAGGAGCAGCAGCGGTGGAGATGGAAGATGGTCACTTCAAGGAAAGACTGCCTTCGTCACTGGTGGAACCAAAGGAATTGGGTATCTTCCCTTTTACTCTGCAGTCGAGTCTTGTTCCTTCTGTTCTATATAGCTCATTGGTCGACTGTGAAACACCCACGGTATTCCTTGCACTCTACCTGTTTGTTTATATGCCGCAACCAGATATGCTATCGTGGAGGAATTGGCTGGACTTGGGGCGACAGTACATACTTGTTCAAGGGACGGAACTCGCCTCGACGAGTGTTTACGTGAATGGAAATCCAAGGGCTTCCAAGTTACCGGGTCAGCCTGCGATGTTTCCTCGCGAGCTGAACGGGAAAACATCGTGAAAGAAGTTTTCTCCCTGTTCAGTGGGAAATTAGATATCCTCGTAAAGTTCCTTTCTCCTCATTATGTAATGTTGGAAACTCTAGTTCATGTTTGTAACCAGATTTTCGGTGTCCTACAGGTCAACAACGTTGGAACAAACGTAACAAAACCAACCCTGGATTACACATCAGAGGATTTTTCAATGCTGATGGGCACCAATTTCGATTCTGCTTATCACTTCTGCCAACTTGCACACCCGCTTCTGCAAGCTTCTGGGGCTGGAAGCATCGTGTTCATCTCTTCTGTTGGAGGGGTGGTTTCACTCAGCACTGGAAGCATCTATGGAGCAACCAAAGGTAATTTGGCTGGAGAACCGATATGATTTTCTTCCAGACCCAGATAATGGATTCTTTCTTCATCGGGTTGGTTCTTCTGGTGTGTTTAATTGTGGCAGGAGCCATGAACCAACTCACCAGAAACTTGTCTTGCGAGTGGGCGAAGGACAACATAAGGACCAACTGTGTTGCTCCTTGGTACATCAGAACCCCACTGGCGGAGCGGGTATCTGTCTTTTTATTGTGGGAATGCCTAAAGTCATGTTTTTTTTTTTTTTTTCCTTTGAATAACTGAAGGATGTCCAGGCTTTTGTCTGCAGCATCTCAGCAAGGAAGAGTTCAAGAATGAGGTTGTGGGTCGAACACCAATGGGGCGAGTTGGGGAACCAAAGGAAGTGTCTTCTCTAGTTGCGTTCCTCTGCCTCCCAGCTGCCTCTTACATAACTGGCCAGACCATTTGCGTCGATGGAGGAATGAGTGTCTATGGTTTCTCCTTCCCGTGATACAATATGAAAGTTCTCTCTGCTTTCTGGGTCGGTCTCTTAGTGTTAGTACTGTTCCCATCAGAGGCCTCATTTTATGACTGAGCTACTGGTCTGTAAGCTAGCTTCAACAAATCAAAGTTCTCAGAGAGTTTACTCCATGTTTCGATGATCTTTGGACGAAACATAATATAATCCACAGTGGCAGTGGAGTGCTATGCACTAAATCCTCCAGTTCCCTTGAGTTCTTTCTTGGCTTTGTCGCTTCTTTTCTTCCTAGTTCCTACACAGTTTATTTTTATTTATCCAGTTATTTTATTTTATCGTCCGTTTACTAAAAATTCGGTCTTCATGAGTACTTTTCATCATCCGAAGAACTTTCCTGGAAACAACACTCTAATGTAGCTACTAAACAATATATAAAGAGTGACCCTCCTAACGACATGATCTGGAAAAGCTGAAAGCGGAGAGAGGAGACCAATCAGGGGATGGCGGAAGCAGCAAGCAGCAGCAGGTCCGGAAACAGATGGTCTCTCCATGGAATGACCGCTTTGGTCACCGGCGGGACCAAAGGAATCGGGTAAGTAAACAATTTCTGCCTCCCTTCACTGCCACTCACTCTTTGCAACTCCATCTCCGATCTTAGCTTGGAGCTTTGGCTAATAGAATATGAGCATAAAATCACCATGTAAAACCACCACCTACTGCAGGCGCGCCATCGTGGAGGAATTAGCATGCCACGGTGCGGCCGTGCACACTTGTTCCCGCAGCGAGGTGGAGCTTAATCAAAGGATAATCGAATGGAAAGAGAAGGGCTTTGATAAAGTCACTGGATCCGTTTGTAACGTGTCCTCTGCCGTCGAACGGGAGAAGCTCATCGGCGTCGTCTCTTCTCTATTCGCCGGCAGACTTAACATTCTCGTAAGTCAACGTCTGAATTATATTGATCGCTCGGGGTTGAAAGCAGATCCCAGGCACCACAAGGTCATGATCACTCACAAAATCCTGTTTTCTGTTGATCGTGTGGCTGTAGGTGAACAACGCTGCAACGGCCACTGGGAAACCGCCTACAGAGGTTACAGCTGAAGAGCTCTCCCATATGTGGAAAACCAACTTCGAGTCCGGTTTCAACTTGTGCCAGCTCGCACATCCTCTCCTCAAAACTTCCGGATCGGGAAGCATCGTTTTCATATCTTCCGTCGCTGGTTCAACTGCTACGCCTAATCTCTCAGCCTATGGAGCAACCAAAGGTAAGTATTCAATATGATGGTGGAAAAAACTTAAGAAGTAAGAATGTATAATGTCTCGTCTTACTCTAAGAGTAGGAGTGAACTGTGGATGAAGATGAACACATGAATGGAAATGAAGGGGAGGAGCTGCTCTAATCTCTCTGCTTAAAATCAACACCATCCACAAGTAGTTGATTGACGCCTGAAATTGACATAAGAACATTCTGACTAGTTCTAAATCCTTCTGCAGGGGCAATCAACCAGCTAACGAGAAGCTTGGCATGCGAATGGGCCAAAGACAACATAAGGAGCAACGCTGTGGCGCCTTGGTTGACCAGGACCCCACTTGTCGAGCAGGTAAATAGAGATGCTCTCCAATAACACAACATCCCCTGGAGTTGGGTGCTTCAATTTTCTGGGCTAAAAGAATTGTAAATTCTGAAGGCTTGCTTCTTTGTTTGGTGCTAGGATCTCCAAGACGAAGGATTTCTAAAAGCGGTTCTAAAGTGCTCACCACTTGGGCGGATAGCAGAGCCAGAGGAAGTGTCGTCGATGGTGGCATTCTTATGCATGCCTGCTGCATCTTACATTACAGGCCAAATCATAACTGTTGATGGAGGAGTTACTGTCAATATTTTCTCCATGTGAAGTTCAGTAGCAACGCCTGTTTTCGATTGTTGTGTGCTGTGCGCTTGATTCAGAACCAACATGCACGAATATGTATGGAACAGTTCCTTGTTTTGGTGTCGATGTATTCAAATAAGTTAGTAACTAAAGTGATACGAAATATGGTTGTGCTAGATTACAGATCTCTCCCGGTGTTTGGAGGTTAGAACTTAGTATTGTTTAGCATTTTTCGACAGAGTTCCAACTCCAAAAATTATTATTATTATTATTATTATTATTATTATTATTATTATTATTATTATTATTATTATTATTATTATCTATAAAAGAATTACTATAATACTATTGCATAGTGTCCCATTACAAGAGGTGGTCTTTTGTAATTTACCAAAGTTTAAAGGGTTTTTTTACGCTAGGCATCTAATTAATTAGTTTGTGACAACTAAGTTCAAATTGAAGGTTCTATTAAGGTTTCAATTAATTAACTAATGATACTTGAAGCGAGATTGAACCAAAATCAATGGGTATTCGACCTAATTCGAATCGGCTAAATTAAGTTGAACGTGATGTTGACGAATTTTGCCTCACCAATGAATTTTGCCCGCTTAAATCAATTTGAAGATTCTATTAAGGTTCCAATTAATTAACTATTAAAGTTTGAAGGGTTTTTTTTTACATTGAAGGTTCTATTAAGGTTCCAATTAATTAACTAATGATATCAATGGGTACTCGACCTAATTCGAATCGGCTAAAGCAAGTTGAACTCGGTGTTGACGAATTTTGGCTCACCAATGAATTTTGCCCGCGTAAATCAATTTTAAGGTTCTATTAAGGTTCCAATTAATTAACTAATGATACTTGAGCCGAGATTGAACAAAATCAATGGGTATTCGATCTAATTCGACTCGGCTAAAGCAAGTTGAACCCGATGTTGATAAATTTTGGCTCACCAATAAGTTTTGCCTGCTTAAATCAATGGGTATTTGACCTAATGTCAACCCGGTTAAAGCGAGGTTTTGCTTACACGCTTAACTTGCTTCGACCCGGTTAAAGCAAGTTGAACCCGTCAAATGGGTATTTGAGATAATGTCGACCCTGTTAAAGCAAGTTCGATCCGAAGTTGACGAGTTTTTTATTACATGCTTAAATCAATGGGTATTTGACCAAATGTCGACCCGATTAAAGCGAGGTCGACCCCTTTCAATAGCATTTCACTGCTTCATACTAGGACAATCAGTAACCTCCCAAGTACCACCACTATGTCGGATATCATGTTTATCAACTGCATCTTGCAGACTGTCGATGCTAGTATGTTCTTACTTTCTTACATTGTCTTTGGTGCTCTTTAAAAATTATGCTAGCACCATCAAACATTTATGCAGGTGTTGATCTCGTATTTCTTCTAGATCTAACTATGTAGTTACATTGATCTAGATGAAATATCTTTCATTGTCCTAGGAGTCTGGATCTCCAAGCATAACACTTGCTTTATCCAGATCTTTTACTTTCATAATTCTCAAACAACATGGTTTTTCATAGTATTGACATCACGAGTCTTTGTACTAAAGATCTACGTGTCATTCATAATGCAAGTGTCATTCTCAAATTTGTACTACATAAACTTGTCACTTTCATTTTAAAACCATGAGAGAGAATCTGATTATTCACGCCACTGTTTTAGAGTCATTTTCAAATCTTACCATGATTTGTCTAACCATAGACTCCAGAAGATTGTTCCGAAATAACAACCCTTTAGGTTGTCCCATGTAGATTTCTTTATTTAAACCACCATTCACAGAAACAGTTTTATCAATCCATCTGAACAACACTATCAATCAGAATATACATGGATGTTATTCTAGATGTGGTGAATAAATATCAAAGAAATCCACAATTTCTTCCTTCTACGTCCAATGTTTAATGGTTCATTTGTCTCTTCTGAGTTCGTACTCAGATTCATCACCCCCACTCGATCCATTATTTCTAATAGCATATAGGATATCGCCCCAACTATTTCTTAATTTAAATGAAAATCTATTGGCATCAATGAATTCCACAACGATATGAGAATTTCATAAGGTTATGATCATATCATATCATATTAAAACACACTCATATGCTCTTCTACTAATCATATTGCTATGATTCTCTAATTCTGCCACAAGCATTTCAAGAGCATAACGTCAAACCATTAATCAAAGCAATCGATAAAACATTTCTTTTTCATCCAAGTTGACATCTTAACACGTTTACCCATATCAAGATAAAATCTAAAATTTCTTATTCTCTAATCACATATTGATCGGTCATTTAACTTGGCCCTAGAATTGTCTTTATTACGATATGCCACTCTCCAAAGGATTCCTACATTCTGGAGCACAAGATAGTGTCATTCTTAGAGGATTGACCAGTGATCTTTTGGCTAACACGAAGGGTACCATTCTATTTGGTGTTGATCTGGTTCAGCTTACTACTCTTATTTTTGAAACTTCAATATTTCTGAACAGCTTGAATGGTACACCTAGTACTGACAGTCGGTACTTCTTCTAATCTCATTTGTGACATACAAGTACAACTCATTTTATTCTCATATATACTTCATATGCATCCATATAATCAATTTTACTCTACTCCATAATATGTACAGAGATTATTATACTCTAATCATTGAAAAAGTCACATCTTAATGTTAACCTATTCATGCATCTATTCTTCCTTTCTGGCATTCATAAGGTTTCTCAATTAGACGCATAAAGTCATATGAAATATATTCTAATTTGTCATTTATCAACGACTTCCGAGAAAAGTTTTAATTCTTTATCTCTTATTGAAAAATCATTGCATTCTGGTTTTGCAATGAATAGCTAGCATGTGGGCATGTGGCTTAGCTTCCAATTGATACTCCGTTATCTGAGTTCCGCTTTCAGTAAAGCTCAAACCGTTCAATCCTTGGGCCTGCATAATTCCACTTTAATTGCCCATCATAGCCCACCAAGTTCGTCCTACTCTTTGCGGAGTCTAGCATAACTACTGATGCCACAACCAAGCGGATTTCTATGTCATATGTCTCGCGCATGTCAAAGTAAAGAAGAGACAAATTGGCGCCAGTAGAATGTATTACCGTTCAAGCTTAATTAATCTCAAGAAATAATGATTATGTAGGGTTTGAAAGGATACGCTATTAGCTTCTTTCACAGCCGCCACAAATGCCAGAACAACTGAAGTTTTTCTCCCGACCAGTTCTTCCTTCTTCCATAGTTAAGGACTTGTTTGGCCGGAAGCTTGGTACTAAGGCCAAATATATTGCCGCAGCTTTGAATATTTAACTCTAGACCACAATATATCAATGTTGATATCTCAACTGGTCAAAACCTGCGTTCCTTTGTGGACACCACATGCCATACAACTCAAATCAAAATAATTCACATTAGTGATCCCATAACAGAATTAGCAAAAAGGAAGGACTAATAAAACAAGTTGATTTCCTTTAGCCATGATTATTTTGTTCCAATACGCCGCCAAGTCAGCATCGCTAGATTTGAAGCCAACGTCTTCGACAAGAACTCTTTCAATAAGCAGCCCTGTGAAAGTGCTCAGAAATCCTGAGTTTCCATTATGTGAGAAGTGTACATATATAGAAGCTGAAAGCTGTTACAGGAGGACCAAAACCTACGGAAAAGGCAGAAACAGATTGCCTGGAATTGTGTAACAGAACATAAACAGAATGAGAGAAGTGGGGAAGTGGGCTGCCGAGATGTGTGGAGTTGTGCTGCTCTATCACGCCCCCCGCAAGTGGAACCTCGGAGAGGTGAAACTTGGAGCAGAAACGATTAACGGTAGCAGATAGGTAATGAACTTGAAGTGGCCTCTGGGTGATCAGCTTTCTCTTGGAAATCGACATGCAGGCGTACTTCCTCCCGATAGAATTCTCGATGGAAATGTAAGTACCCCCAAATTGGCCCAGACCCAGTTCTTTCCTGATTTTGTAGTGGAGCTTGACGTCCTTTTACGCCTTCCTTAAGATGGTGTCGGGTCTTCGGGCCGGCTTCGGGCTTGGCGGAGTGAGAATACCGAGCTTCGTGGTGCCGCCTTGGCTTATGCAGCTGCAGCTGATAGCTTATCAAAATTCTGGAACATCAAGTGGAAGAAGAACAAGAAAGATGTCGGTTGAATTGAATTTGGGGAGGGTGGGTTTTGTTGAGAAGAAAGAGTCAGAGATGATGAGGCAAGATTCAGAGAAAAAAAAACCCATAAGAGGAATCAGAGGGGAAAGAGGTGAGAAGTGATATTAAAAGAGAAGAGAAGCAGAAACATCAGGTGAGGTGGAGACATGGAGACATGGTTGTCGTATGGTAGAGATAAGGAAATAGAATAGGGACAAAAGAGTAACAGAGGCAGGGTTATGAGAGGAAGTGACACGCAGGGAGATGCTAGAAGGAGAGAAGGGCAAGGAGCAGAATATAATCAGGAAGAAGAAGTTATCATTATAGGATATTTTTGGGTTGGGGAATTGAAAGTTTTTGAAGGGTTTTGGTTAGGTGATCTAATAGTTGGAGGCCAAGAACAAGACGGTTAAGGTCAACAAGAAGAAAAGACGCAAAAGCAGTTCAGCTTTAGCTGTGTGGAATCATCGGGAAACGGCCAAAAAGACAGAGACGCTGAGAAGAACAGGAAGAAAAGAAAATAATGATACAATTCATATTGCCTCAGTGGAGGACAGGGGCTCGGAAGACATGATGTAGGAGACGGCTAGGAAGAAGAAGAAGGAAAAAAAATTGTAGAAGAAAACAGAGTACCTCGTTAGAGGAAATTTGAGGCTCTGATACCATGAAAGTGCTCAAAAATCCTGAGTTTCCATTATGTGAGAAGTGTACATATATAGAAGCTGAAAGCTGTTACAGGAGGACCAAAACCTACGGAAAAGGCAGAAACAGATTGCCTGGAATTGTGTAACAGAACATAAACAGAATGAGAGAAGTGGGGAAGTGGGCTGCCGAGATGTGTGGAGTTGTGCTGCTCTATCACCCTGCAGTGACTGTTCATCTCCTTGACTAGTAGCTTGCGTTTTCCCCTCAGTTTTAATCGACAACCAGAGACGCGTCCCGACCTTGCTGAACGCACGATAGCAATTTTTCCCCGTCGGGAAGGAATAACAATTATAGCGAGATGCATCTGCCATTTTCCATCGGCGTGGGGCAAAGACAACTGCGGTGCGAGCTGGACAAAATTTAATAGTCCCTCTTTCGAGCGACATGGCCACGAATCCATCGAGTCATAATCGATATCTTGTTCTGTACACACGACAGCAAATGAACGTTTT